AGAAGAGGATGATAGCTTTATGTCATAGGCAGTTATATAAGAGAAGAATGAAGAAAGCATTTGATAAAAAGGTCAAACCTCATGAATTCAGAGAAAGCGACCTCGTGCTCAGGAAGATCATGTCTTTTAACATTGATTCTAGGAGCAAGTGGACTCCCAATTTTGAAGGCCCGTATGTTGTCAAGAAAGCCTTCTCTGGTGGTGCATTATTCTTAAAACTATGGATGGCGAGGAGTTCCCACATCCCATGAATGCTGACATAGTCAAAAAATACTTCGCCTAAAGAAATAAAAGAATAGCTCGCTAAGTTAAAAACTCAAGAGGGCGGCTTAGGAGAAAAGGAGCATCTCCGTAGGCCGAAAACCCGAAAGGGCGGTCTAGGCAAAAATTAGAGACATAAACAGAATAAATTTCCTGCTAAGTTGAAAACCCGCATAGGGCAGCTTAGGAAAAAGTTAGGGATTTTTCTTGGCAAGTAACTACGACAGACAAGACTTGATCATTGCAGTAACAATCTTCTCGGATCCTCAACATACTTCAACAAAATCTGCTGCTCAGGATTTCAAAAGTTGTTAGGGGGAATAATGGTCATTGTATCTCAATATATCTTTTCCATTATGCATTACCATTCCCAAAACTTTGTAATCATCCATGGAGTCTTGCCATTCGCAGACTACCATTCTATTAATGAAATTCGAGCTTTTGCTCAATTCTTTGTGTTCTTATTTTTATTTAGCTTGCAAAGACTCCATTTATTACTGATAATAACTATTAAAGCAAAAAGATTAAAAAAGCAAAATTGAATTTTAATAAAAAAGAGATCTTTACAATTCAATTCACTTTGGGATTTGTGATGAAACAATGACAACAAGAATGTTGATCCCAAGAATGAACAAACTCCGGTTGTTTTAAGAAGATTTACTCCCTTCATGAAGGTTTTCTCAGGTCATTTTGCTGGTATGTGCGCAATCTTTGTGTGTTTCTCAGATAGTTAAATATGATATCAGTGGATGTAAGGTACAGTATTGGGTTTGTGATCCCATTATCCCCAGTCAAGTCTTGGTTTACTTTTGATTTTGGGTTTGCATGGTCAGAAACCTCTGTCCCAGATTCCCCAGCAAAGTCTTCTCTCATATGATGAAAGGTTTGATTCACTTGGTGTGCTAAGATGTCACTCTCTTTGCAGTATTGACATTAGTGTCAACTTCTTGATTTCTCGAGAAGGTTATCGCAGGGTATCTCTTCTCCCGGTAGGTAGGCTTGAATCCCCCAGTGAGGTTTGGTTGTGTCGGCGTCAGTCTGCTTTATTTGAGGCTGGTCTTGCAATCTCTAGTAGGAATGTTGCTTTTGGAAAACTGCTTCTTCGATAAAACCGGAAGAAGGATGTTCTATCCTGGTATCTGTTTGATCTGGCTACCTCTGGATTATGTTTCTCCTCAGTGAAGTTAAGGCAGGCAATAAGTTTTGTTTTCACAGTTGCTTTTACCTTTCTTGGATTGATCTTTCTGGTTGAAGTTTAGCCCAATGTTGTTAGTACCTGAGGCGGTTTTGTTTGTTGGTACTGATTATGTATCCTTTTACCAGCATATGCACGATAGCACTCATACATTCATACATACATCATGCATGGCTAAAAATCATCGTTCATTGACATTGTGTTCTAACCTTCATGCAACGCTCCTTTCTTAGATGGATCTGGTTTTCCTTCTAGAGTTTATTCCCCAAAGGATGTATCTTTATTGGCCGTCTTGTTCCAATTCATTTTTGATTTGGATCTGTGGTTGCATGACAATATTATTTGTTTTGGATTTTTGAGAACTTTGAGTTTTGGTTTTTGCATTTATTTTGCACAGGAAGATTTTATCTCCTCAGCAGGAATATCGTGGCATTTCCCCGAGAAGTCATATTTCTATCCCCAAAAAGTCATTTCTCTTTGAAATTCCCCATGACAATGAGTAACAAGTCTCATTATTTGAGACAACTTATGTTTGATCTTTTCCAGGCAGATTTCCTTGGTTAAAGAAGAAGTTGAGACCCGTTCTAGGTGAAACACCAGAATTTTGGGGATAACTTGATATATTTTCTCTCTCTACCTTCAGTGAATGTTGGTAGTACATCGGCAGTGAACGTCGGTGTTTGTTATCTTTTTGCTATCTTCAGCGAACGTTGATAGTTCATCTTCAGTGAACAGCAGTGATATGATATATTTTCTCTCTCTACCTTTAGTGAACATTGGTAGTACATCAGTAGTGAACGTCAGTGTTTGTTATCTTTTTGCTATCTTCAGTGAATGGCAGTGATATGATATATTTTCTCTCTCTACCTTCAGTGAATGTTGGTAGTACATCGGCAGTGAACGTTGGTGTTTGTTATCTTTTTGCTATCTTCAGTGAACGTTGATAGTTCATCGTCAGTGAACGGCAGTGATATGATATATTTTCTCTCTCTACCTTCAGTGGATGTTGGTAGTACATTGGCAGTGAACGTCGGTGTTTGTTATCTTTTTGCTATCTTCAGTGAACGTTGATAGTTCATCGTCAGTGAACAACGATGATATGATATATTTTCTCTTTCTACCTTCAGTGAACGTTGGTAGTACATCGGCAGTGAATGTCGGTGTTTGTTATCTTTTTGCTATCTTCAGTGAACTTTGATAGTTCATCATCAGTGAACGGCGGTGATATGATATTTTCTCTCTCTACCTTAAGTGAACGTTGGTAGTACATCGGCAGTGAACGTCGGTGTTTGTTATCTTTTTTCTATCTTTAGTGAATGTTGATAGTTCATCGTCAGTGAACGGCGGTGATATGATATTTTCTCTCTCTACCTTCAGTGAACGTTGGTAGGACATCGACAGTGAACGTCGATGATTGTTATCTTCCTCTCTGATTTAGTTCTTTTGGTTCACTAGTGATTTAGTTTCCTGGTGGGGTTGCTCCCTTGTTTCTTCACATTTTTGTGGCATCCCCAATGATACTTTGCGTTTCTTTGATATTGTTCATATGCATTCTGTAGCGGTGAAAATCGGAGATCAAGCTATTAATTAACTTGACTCACAAAAGCAAGAGTCGCCACCACGCTTTATTATTTCCAAGGGAAAAGGGAAAAGAGCGAAATAAAACCCTAAAATATGCAATGTAAAGTAATATTTAAAAGTAATGAAAATACAATGCGTTTTTAAAAGAGATCGAGAGTTCGGGGGTTGGTTATACAATGGGAAGGTATTAGCACCCAATGCATCTGCAGTACTCCGCAGGAACCTTTTGAAGATACGACGACCTAGTGTCGAAGTTTTGACTTAAAAGGTGTGAGTTTGAAAATGGAGTCTTTTGGGAAAATTATCTTGAGTTTTAGCAAAATAGTAAACAAACAAAAAATGAAAAAAAAAGGTATTTGCACGATCGGATGAGATATATTTGATGACGTGAAGTCAACAAAGTTAAAACATTTCCCTTGGATTAAATCGAGCGAGCAAAATAAGATGAATCAGTAAAGTATAAACATTCGAAAATTCACAAGAAAACAAATCTAATGAAACAGAATAATGACCAAAGGCATCGAGAAATTAAAATGACAAAGATATTTAAAGAGAAGAAAATAGAACTAATTATCTAAGTAAAAATTCTAAGATTACTTACTAAAATAATTCTAAACTAATTACAAATTCTAAAGTTATAAAAATAATTCTAAAATTACTACACTAGATCTAAACTAAAATTAAAATTTTGATATTAGCAAATTAAATCTAAGCTAAATTAAATTCTAAGGTTACTAAATTAAATCTAAAACAAATAAAAATTCTAAAATTCACTATATTAAAAACAGAAATTCTAAAGTTATTAGGTTAAATCTAAATTAAATTAAAATTCTAAAGTTTACTAACTAAACTAAAATTAAAATTACTACAATAATTCTAAATTTAAAATAATTAGTTCTAATTAAAAAGGAAAGTTTTTTTTGTAATTTTATATGATTATACTAACCAACCTAATATTAAATCTAACTTACTCTACATTTTTTAAGTTACTAGATTAAATCTGAAATGAAACTTTAATGTTAATAGATTAAAACTAAATCGATTAAAAATAAAAGGGTAATGTGAAAACATAATATAGGGGGGTGATATCAATCAATTTAGGATGTGCTTGCTGATCAGAATATAGCCCAAGATAGAAGTAATATAAAATAAAAAGAAAAACTAAAAAAACAAAAAAAAACAAAAGTTATACCGGGCCGAACCGGGTCGGGTCCGGACCCGCTCCTTTACTAAAAGGCCATGGGTTAAATGAACCCTAAAATGGCAAAGGCCATCAACGCCTCTCCCTCTCACCATTTTGTCCTCTCTTCTGTTCAGCACAAAAAAGGAAAAAAAACAGTCTAAATACCCTCTCTCGCCGTCATCTCAACCAAAGCACCAACCAATACTCCCTCCGCCGCTTCGTCCTCTCTTTCTGATCAAACTCAACTCACCATCACCAGACAAAACTTCTATCATCATCGCGTTTCGGATTTCAGATTCTTCATCGATTTCGCGGAACCACTCGCAGTATCAATAATTCATGGCAATTCGTTTACATACTCGGACGCAAAAAGATTAAGGTTTAAGGCTTACCTCAAAGACTCATCTCAATTGTTGTTGAAACGAACTCGTTGCGAATTGTAGAAGAATACCAAAGGGTAATCCGCATAAGGTACAGATTCCTCTTCTAATTTCTCTAATTCTGGTTGTTGTTGTTGTTGATACAAATGAACTGTTGTTATGGATGTAAGCTACTACTGGTTGTTGCGGAAGGAAGAGAGATGTTAAGGTGAAGGTGTGAAGCGGTCTGAAGTTGGAAGGTGGATGGTGTTGCGGAATCAGTGGGCTACGGTAAAGATGCTGGATGAAGGTGGACGGTAGGCGCTGCAATTGAACAAAGGGAGGTGGTTTCGGTTTGTGATGGAAGGCGGAAATGGTGGTTGTGTGCGTCACGGCGGATATTGAAGCGAGTGGGTTACGGTCACGGTGAGATGATGGTTGAGCAGAGGCGGAGGGAATTTACAGTGGAGATGGAATGGTGGAATTGGAGAAGGTTGTGGTCCGAAAATGGTGGTACGGGTAATGATGGGTTGTATGCTGTGCGTTTTTTGTTTGACAGAGGGTGAAGGTGATGATGATGGAAGGTTGTTGTGCTAGTGCCTGCACCACTGGAACTTGAAGGGAAGACACAGCCACTAACACTTGGGTCAGATGCAACAGGAGTGGCTGTTCCTGCAAAGTCACAAGTTCCTGGTGCTTGACCTTTCTTCTGGAAGTAGCTGTTCACAGCGTAGCTGCAGTGAGCTCTGACTGTGTTTGGTTGGAAACAAGGAGCATTTTGATGGAGAGGGTTACGGTCAGCTCCAGCTCCACAAGCATAGTCCAAGATTTTCTACAAAACTGCATCACTTCCATCTTTGCAAACGCACCAATTAGCACTTGAAGGAATGGCGGTGAAGGAGAAGAGAAGTAGGGCAAGAGCAAAAGCAGCAGCCATGGTGTTTTTAGGTAATCTGTAAGGATAGTTGAGATGGGTGATGGGTGGTTTCGTTTGGGGAATTTGAATGGAGAAGATGATGTTGTGTTGGTTGAAAGTTACTGTTTTTTTTTGTACAGAATCATGTTACAATTTTCCTAATTTTTTCTGTTCTCTTTGTGTGTTTTCCCCCTGTGATCTCCTCTCCTTAGAACTACTTTTATAGCTGGAACAAAATGAATTTTGGGGGGAAAATGGTTGTGAAAGTTGGTTTTGTTATAACTGTTTTATTACTTTTTTTTTGTATAGGCTAAAGCTTTCCTTACTTGTGCAAAATTGGGACAGCATAGCAGAATTAGTTTGACTGCTGCAACATAGGTTGGTTTTGGGACAGATCTTACACAGTTTTGGGACTATAAGGCAGAGTTTGTAGCAGTTGGTTCTGGACAGCAAACAAAAGACAGTTTTGGGGCATTATTTTTGGACTGATGTGCAGCAGTAAAATTATCATTGAGAGGTCCCTTTTCTACTTTTCATTTTTCTGATTTTTCCATGTAACCATACATGTATTTTCCCTCTCCTTTCTTTCAAAATATTAGACTGATTTTGCTTCCATATGTTTTGTTGTTTTAGTGGACAGTTTTGGGTGAATGTTCGAGCAAGGTTTGTGGACAATTCTATGGCATGATTTGGAAGAATGAATCAAGTTTGAAGATTACGATAGGTTTAGAATTTTTAGAGTTTAGGAAATGGCCGTGGAAATGCTTGTAATGATGCATGAAACTTTAAGCACTCAACAACTGAAGTGTTATAGATAAGAATTGAATCTTTTGTACCTTAGAATGTCTTGGATGAATTTCTGGAATTTCCTTGTAACTTGAAATTTAATATCTAGGAAACTTGTAATTCTTGAATGGAATTTACAGTTGGAATGATGGCCTTAAAAGAAAATGTGTGAGCACTTTTAATTCTCTATGACAAAAATTGAATCGTTTAGCCTTGACTTGAATTTAACGATATTTCATGGACGAATCCTCAATTCATGGTAATTCACAATAAAATCCAATGGCGCTTGAGAGAACAATAATTTCTTAATAAATCCACTTTCATTCAATAATCACCAAATGCTCAGACACAAGTGATTTGAATTGCGAATAATAAGGAGATCAATGAATTTCCAAACTCTGATTCTTATTTTCATGAATAATCTCCAGGTAAGAATCAAGTATCTTGAGAAAATTTTTATGACATGAGTTGGACCTATGACTTAAGAACATTTTAAGTCACGAAATGACCCATGACGATTCAATGGCTTTTATGATCTCTTATGCATAATTAACTCTCGATCCTTGAAGAGAACTGGTAGATGACATTACTCATGACAATGTGCAAAAAGAATCGCCTCAAAATGTCGAGAATAAAAGAAATTATGATCCTTGGAAGTTGGGCACAACGGTTTTGAAATTAGGTCAAACCCCAGAGAACGACCTCTAAAGTATTCGTACTTTTGATGATCCTCCGCACATAATCAGATCTTGACTGGTAACGAGGGGTTGGAGATGACGTCAAGGAGAACTATACGTAAAAGCAACCATTCAAAACTGTTGAATAATGAAAAAGTTACGATCGTTCGAACTTGAATGTGCAAGTATTGACTTTTGGTCAAAGTGCTTTGAAATGACTTGCAAACTTGATCTTTCTTTGCATTCCAAAGCATCTTGATGCACATGTGAACCAGTGATGATGAAATCTTGTTTGTGCTCTGAGAAAGTTGTAGAGAAGCTTGAGACCACTTGTCGAACAAGGCGTGGAAATAAATGCACGATTCTCCTAATGAATCAGTCTTCACGAATCAACGATTAACTGTACATCTGGCTTGAGAGATTCTGAACCCTAATTGAGGTGTGACGCCTAATGCTCTTGATTCAGATCTGTTTCCTGCAAATGAAATCAAAGAAACGAAAAATACACATGCTGGAGTAGAAGTTAATGATACATAGGCTAAGAATGCTTAAAATACTTGACAATTTCTGCATAGCCAATGCTCGAAGGTGAGAGGTTAAAACCGACCATATTTAGTGACCTTGACTTATCTTTAAAAATGCAAAATAAAAATGGGATCTTAGGTCAAAAATTGGGGTACAACAGCTGCCCCTATTTAAGTTTCTTCTATCTGGAGATATGAAGATTGGGATCTTCATTTCGACGAAATTGAAGGGACTTAAATATAGAATACACAATTTTTGGCCTTAAGATACCGCGATTATGCTCATGATATGATATGAATGTAAGGCTCTGAATTTTACGGGGAATGACGCCATACGAGACAGACTATGCTGGAGAAACCAAGCACATTATACAGTAATCCCACAGAGGAAGAGGTTGTAACTCCACTGGGGAAACAGAGTCATAGACTTCAAATGAGAGACTCTTGAATGATTTACATCAGTATTGGGACTGGAAAAGGTAATGATTTACATCAGTACTGTGACTGAAAAAGGAAATGATGGACATCAATACTTAGACTGGAAAATGATTGACATCAGCACTGTGGCTGGAAAACAAAATGATTGACATCAGAACTGTGACTGGAGATAAACATCTTAGATTTCTGAATTTTACCAAGAACGGTAACACATTTCTTCTTTAACCAAGATATCGCTTGAAAAGGATAAAATAACAAACTTCCACACGGGACTTTTCCGAAGGGATGCCATTTGCTGAGTAAACATTATTGTTGGGGATACACAAGCTACTCAAATAAAGAGGCCGCCACTTGCTTCCTTTCAAAGGTGTCAATAACATACAAGCTGCTCATGAAGAGACCGCCACTTGCTTCCTTTCAAAGGTGTCAATAACATACAAGCTGCTCATGAAGAGACCGCCACTTGCTGTCTTCAAAGAATATTAAAGCACACAAGTTGCTCATGAAGAGTCCGCCACTTGCTTCCTTTCAAAGGTGTCAATAACATACAAGCTGCTGATGAAGAAACCGCCACTTGCTGTCTTCAAAGAATATTAAAGCACACAAGCTGCTCATGAAGAGTCCGCCACTTGTTGCCAAAACCCACAAGCTGCTCATAAAGAAGTTGCCACTTTCCGTTTTCAAGGGAACAATAACACACAAGTTGCTCAAATAGATAAGCTGCCACTTGCTATCTTCCAAAAATACTAACGTACAAGCTGCTCATGAAGAAGCTGCCACTTGCCGTTTTCTGTACAAGCTGCTCATGAAGAGACCGCCACTTGCTGTTTTCAAAAAGTGTTGATAACATACAAGTTGCCCATGAAGAGACTGTCGCTTGCTGTTTTCTCAAAGATACCCATAAAATATCATGAAGATATTGCTGGAGGTGAGAATCAATAATTTCATCGAGGATGGACAAACTGCTCATGAAGAGACCGCCATTTGTCATAGAGAAATCAGAAATAATCAAACTGCTCAAATAAAGAGTCAGTCACTTGTTGTCATGTCGATATTCCAGAAGAAGGTTGTGATAACACTGCTGGGGAATAAAGTTCATCTTCAATGGGGAACCATGAATAAATCCTTCTTGAGGAGACCAAGTATTTACGTTGCAAAATAAATGCACTCTCCATCTAGGTTTCACAGCCTAGAGAGATCCACAGGGTATCGTTCACAAGAGACAAAGCTCAATCCAGGAATAAACTGGAGAGAAAATAGTCAAACAAGACTCCACCCAATGAGGAAACAACTCAAATGGGGATTTATCCTATCCAGAGATGGAAAAGGAAAGCTAAAGCAAGATTCTTCCACGAGAGTTAACTCAGTGGGGAATTAGAAAAGAGGCGCACTTTCTGCTTAAGTTGGCACTCTATTTGGAAAGATCAAATATGCTATTTGAATAGACATAACCAAGGTATACGAACTCAAAGATATCAACAAATACAAATGTGCGTGCATGATGCAAGTATGAACGAATGAATGAATGTCATGTATATGTTGACAAAACAGACAAGGGAGATAGATAGAAGATGATAAGACGTCCCAGTACAACCCGACGCTCAGCTAATCTCAACAAAAGGGGAACATTACTGGAGATAAAACACAAAAGCCATCATTGGAGCAAAGTCCTTTTACAAGGCTTAAATCTCTTTGGAGAGGAAGATATTTTCAGGTAGAAAACCCAAAGTCCAGTCTTCTATTGTCGACAATCCATTGAAAGGATAACAACACGAACAATGCTTCAGCTGGAAAAAGTCATGCTTAGCTGGAGATACTGGGAACACCACCCTCTGATAATGTGTGCAATACATATCACATATCTTGACAAAACTAGATTGCCCCTGGGACCAATTTTGGATGCCCCAAGTTTACTGCTGATGAGCTGCATGTTGCACGATAATTCTTGCGAATAGCTTCACTTCTAACATGCCCCAAGCTATCTGGTTGATGAGGAGAAATCGTCTCAAGAGGATTTTACAAAAGACCTGGCATTCACCATGCTCTGGTGTCTTCAAACTCTTAGAGGAATTCATCAAATCTCGATGTGATTGCCCCGGATTGACTGTAGTTGGCACAACAAAGTCTTCAAATTTTGCCCCAAAAGAGGGTAAACAAGTTGGGAAAGCATTAACTGGGAGAAGCAACATGTTCGTGCTTATGGTCTTCAGGTGACATGCCCCTGCATATGATTTTTTCTTGACGTGATCCGTCAATTACTCAACATAATTTCAGGCCTTAAAAGAATAAACTCATCACTAGTGCTTATGTGAGCTTCCTTGATATCAAACAAAAGTTTTGCAGTTAGAAAAAGTTTACAATGAGAATGAAAATTCTAATGCAACAGTTATGTAAGTCTTGAAGATTTTGAAAAGATATCGCACAAATTTTGCGAGTTAGAGCATCATTTATTTTTGTATAGGAAAAACATATGATACCAACATAACTATTTAGAACATTCATGGGAGTCAGGAACACTATCTCATTGAAGTATGCTTTCAAAATAACCTTGCCTCAATTAGGACTTTTGAAGGTTGTAATGTGGTCTGGTTCATGG